TAGTTCTGGTCAACCCCGTGAACCCCGGTTCGGAAGAAGGCAGCACTACTGCCCATAAAGTCGATGGAGGTGCCCGAGTAGAGGTCTCCATCTGCCAGGTCAGAAAGGGAAGCACAGGTTAGCAAGTGGTGCTGGAGCTGTGTCCTTACACAGACAGTCCTTCATTCCTGGACCCTTTAGAAAAGGAGTGTACAAGGGACTCGTGGTTAGTGTGGCATGTCAGAGCTTCACATGGGAGCGGTCACTTGGCCATGACAAGGGAACTGGGCTTAAATATAAACTAGTATCCAAGCAACCAAATGACGCTTCATTTTTCTTGTGTAGCTGTCTCTGGGCTGAATGTTCTCTCTGGCTGCAGAGGAGGTCCAGGTGGACAGATCATCTCTCTGTCTCGGTGAATACTTCGGGTATTGAAGGTGGTAGAAAGTTACCCATACCCAGACAGAGGGAAGCCAGGCTCTCTAAATGTGTTTGCACATTCAATGAAAGTAATTACAGACATTTAAAACCTAATGAACTTGTGAGGAGCCATGATGTAGCACTACCTAGCTACAGGGCAGATCAATTAAGACAACTGATTCTCTGATCCAGGAGGGCTGTGCTACGAGAACTTCTTCCTGAAGTTTCCACCTACAAGATCTGAGTCTTTATTAGCCTATGACAGCCTCAGCTCACCACCTTTGGCTTTCATATCATTGGAAAAATGAGGCTACTCATAGACCTAGAGACATGGCAGGAGCAGAACTGAATGAGATAGGGTATAGCTGTGCTACACTGCAGCCCATGTAGATGTGCCCAAACCAGAGTTAAACTAGCCAGCTCGGTAGTGGTTGAAGCATAGCCACAGCAGCATGGGCTTCAATGCAGCCAGCACAAGCCAACCCAAGATGCTGGGTAGGTCCTCAGCAGCTGAAGCCCAGGCCACTGCTCTTGGGATCTGAGCCAGATCAGGTGTGTCTGAATGAGCTGTTGTTACACCCTTGGCTTACATACAGGCATACCCTGAGATGCGAAAGGCTATTGGCAAGGACAGAACTGACTATCCATATGAATCTATTTAATTTGTAATGCACCTATTTCTACAGGGTCTAGTATCTACCTCCAGTCTCCCACAGGTTCCTCTTACCTATAAGCAGCCCAGTGAAGGGTTCATGGGGACTGTACGGACATTTGCCTCGCCCAGATTCCATAGAGTGGGCCACCAGCTGCATAGGTGAGGTCCCCAGTTCCTGTGGGTGGTTAAAGAGAAGACTTCATTCCAGGCAGAGGCTTGCAACAAACCAGGCTGAACTGTGCTGGGCACCTCCCCATCACTAGCAAGGCCTGCTCCAAACTGCTCCTGGCACATGCCTGACAGGTTGCCAGGCTACTATCACTTAATTTTTATTCAAGGATTGTGCTGGAGGCTGAATGAGGTAAACATGGTCCCTGTTTCCAGTAAACTTGCAAGGTAGGAAAGTATCTCTGTTGTGCAGTCAGACATGGAAGACAGCAGACAGCAACTGATGCTGGTCCCATTTAGCTTGTCTGGAGATAAAGGGCAGGATAGGGCTTGGGAAGCTCAGCTTCTGTTGACTTGGTCGCAGTCAGTCCCTGGAAAGGGCTACCAATATAGACAGTGTGTGTGTGTCCCTGCAGCAAAGACATTCATGCTGTGAGGTCCTTTGATCTGGTTGCAGATCTGGGCAAGAGCATATGCTGGGTCCCCTCTCACTTCTCATGCTGCTCAGAAGAGTTGTGTCCCTCCCACTTTCTCTTGGTGCCTGATGATGATGACTAGCAGAGGGGGCATCCTGGGGTCCCTTTTCTCTTCAGGCAGTGCAAAGAGGGTACATGCATGCTCTGGGGTCCCTCTCTGCCCACACCAATGGTGAATTCCCCTGGCAGAGTCTCTCTCACCTTTTCCCTTTCTCCAAGCTGGATGAAGGTGCAGATGGGCTGGTAGGAGCCTGTTGCACAGGCAAACACATGGCTCTGGTTAAATGGCTGGAGGAGGCGGATGAAGTTGGCACATTCTGTCTGTTCAGGAGGAACATTTTCTTAGAAAGCAGCTCTTTTCTTGCTAGGGCCCTGGTACTGAGGTCCTGGGCCTCCAGCCCCCAGCCCCTTCCATTCTAACACCGATCGTATCTCCCCCCAGTGCATAAAAATTCCCTGGAGTCATTTGTTCTTCCCCAGAAGTATGATTGATGCCTGGCTATTGTTAACCAAGAGAGGTGGTCTGACAGGCCCAGAGCAAAGCTGTATTCTTAATATCCCAATTGCAAAGGTTAGGTTAGATCAAGGGAGCTGCACTGACAACCAGAGATCACGTGGACAGGCCAGTGAGGCCCCAGGGCCTGCCCTTAGCTTGACAAACCTCCTTGTGTCAAGCAGCCCCCACCAAGGCCCATTGCATGGGTCACTGTGCTTCAAATATGGGTGGATGAGCTTACAGGGGACTGCTGAGCCATGAAGTGCTCAGTGCTGCTTTACCTCGGCATTCTTCCCAGCAAGTCTGCAGTGCTCCACCTGCTCTCTGGGGGCTGGCCAGAACATCTGTAAGAGAAAACACCAGCCTAGACCTTAAATGGTGGAGGCTGCAAGTGGCAGAAGAGCACTGGCATAACCCCAGGTCATGCTCTCTTCACTCTCCCTTTCAGCATCCACTCTCTGCCCCTGTGTGACACAGGAGACTGGGCAAGACCGGCTTATGGCCTGATCCAGGAAATGGCGGCTCTTATATTTCATTCCAGTCCCACCTCTCTCACTTGTAATATTGCACCCATCCAGGCAGAGCAGAAGGGGCTCTCTAGGACAGCTCTAGCACCTGTCTCCCTGCAGAGGGTGCCAAAGCACTAGCAGGTGCACACGGGCTTCTGCACAGGCACACAGGCTCCCCCAACACGGTTGCTCAGGACCCCTGCCAGCCTCCTTCCTTTGGCACAAATTCATGGGTGCTTCCTGCCAGGGCATCTGGCTCAGGCTTTCCCTTGCCTCCCAGGTATCAAAGGAAGCCTCAGAGTAGATTAGGACAGTTTGTGACAGAGGCATAGGCAGGGAAGACTCACTGGGCTGAGTCTGGTGAAGGCCAAGTTTAAACTTATTAACAGGCTTGTCTTCCAGCAAGCTCTGCACCATGAGGCTGGGATGCACGGGGCGATATGTGGCGTTCTTGGGGGTTTACATCACTTGCAATGTAAATGATTTGTTGTGACATCAGATCGTTGGTTGCTGCCCAGCCAGCCAGACTTCCATTCCTACCTGTGCTGCTGGCTTGTATCCACTAACCTCCCCAACACTGCACACTGGATGCTGTTAGCTGCAGCCTGGCGACCCATCAGTGCCACTCTGCTTGGGCAACTGAGCACCACTTGCTGAGCAGGAGCATCTACACTGCATGATGCTTTCCCGTGTCATTCTTGTCCTTAAGCTTACTTCACCTCAGGTAGCACATTGAGCTACACAGTACTAGCTTCCCTCTGGCATAACAAGTGAGATCCGTTCCCACAAGGCTTCTGGGAAGGAGGAGGTTAGCCTCCCTTGGGACTTCATAGATTCATAGATTGTGAGGCTGGAAGGGACCTTGGAAGATCATTGGGTCCAGCCCCCTGCACCAGGCAGGAAAGACACCTGGGGTCAGGTGACCCCAGCGAGGTGCCTGTCCAGTCTCCTTTTGAAGATTTCCAGGGTAGGTGATTGCACCACCTCTGGAGGGAGCTTATTCCACAATCTGGACACCCTAGCTATGAAGAAGTTTTTCCTGATGTTGAGCCTGAAACAGTCTTCCAGGAGTTTATGGCCATTACTCCTGGTTTTCCCTAAGGGTGCCCTGGTGAGCAGTTGTTCACTGAGCCCTTGATGTACACCCTGATGTAGCGGTAAGCTGTTATCAAGTCCCCTCTCAGCCTTCTTTTTCAGGCTGAAGAGTCCCAGGTCCCTCAGCCTCTCCTTGCATGGCTTGCCATGCAAGTGTCTGATCATACGGGTGGCCCTTCTAACATACGGATACGTTATGTTCCCTTCCTGCAGCCTCCCTACCACTGACCTTCTGAGGCGGTTTGCTTGGGCTGTCCAGATGCAGAAGGAAGACGTGGTTTTTGGCTCCTACCATCAGCCATGCCCTGTCTTCATCCACTAGGAGTGACTGGAACTCTAGCCCATCTTCTGGACCCAGCAATAGGTGGGAGCTGTTTGATCTCAGCAGGTCTGTAGGGCAGACAGAAGGCAAAGGGGAATATCACGGGAAGCATTAACCCCAACTCCATTCCACGCCAGGAGAGCTCACACCCATCTCTGACTGACAAGAGTTTATTCTGTCATTCCCCCATGGCAGGTGGCTGTGACCCTGCCCTCATTCCTCTCTCCTAGTGCAGTCTCTGTTACCCCAGTCCTAGTTTGTGCTCCCTGGGCTACCCCTGTAGCCAGTATTATCCATGATCCAAGTATTATCCCTGATCCCCGGAAGATTGTAAATGATGTCCCTTCCGCTACCCTCTCAGGAATGAGCCAGTGCTGCTACAGAGTGCCCCTTTATGGCAATCCAAACCTCACACCCAGCCCCTGAGGACTGTGACTATCCTGCTCTTCCCTCTCTGACAGCAGTGTCACACAGGTCAGGGCAGCCGGATGGGACTGCAGGCAGGCAGCTGCTTTTGTGCTGAGGTCTGGGTGAGGGTTTTGGAAGCTCAGTTTACTGTTACCAACCTTGAAATTCAATGGAGCAATTAGGCATGGAAGAATTTCAAGCATAACTTGCCAGTTCCAGAGACCAGGTAGTCCCGTGCCCTGGCGGGGTGTGGGTGGGAACACAGGGTGGGCCCACTCCATCTTGCCAGGGGTGTTTTCCCAGATCATGGGAGTGTCTTTAAAAAGTGTTGAAGTTTCTCTTGGCTAGTGTCCTTGGTGTTAAAGACTGTGTAGAAACAGTGCTGCCCCCAAGCTGGAGCCTTTTGTCCAATGGCTTCTGCTTCATCTACGGGGAGATTTTTTGGCATGTCTGTGCTGCTGCAGGACCCTGGTTTCCTTAGCAGAAACTGTTCCAGCCTCCTGATTTCAAAGATTTCTAAAACCTCCCCCTCCTCTCACCATGATGACTGTCATATAAGGGGTTTCTGCTGCCTGCCTAGTGCAGCTTGTGTGAGATGCAGAGGCCCCATGAAACAGTTCCTGGTACGGATGGGAGGAAGCCACAGAAACCTGTGGGAGAGAGGACCAGTTGGGTGACTGCCTTGCGCCTATGATCCCTGCAGCTAGTCTCCAGAGCACGTGTCCACTTACAGTACTGCTTAGTGTTCCAGTTGATGGGGCAGTCACCGCTCCCCTAGGGAGACTGGTCCTGCCACCCAAGCTCCTCTCATTGTCAAGACATTTTCCATAGTTTCATAGTTTCTAGGGTCGGAAGGGACCTGAGCAGATCATCAAGTCTGACCCCCTGCCATGCCAGGAAGAGCACTGGGGTCAAACAACCCCGGCAAGGTGATTGTCAAGCCTCCTCTTAAAGACCCCCAGGGTAGGAGCCAGCACCACTTCTCTTGGAAGTTGGTTCCAGATCCTAGCCGCCCTGACAGTGAAGTAGCACCTCCTGATATCTAGTCTGAATTTACCCTCTGCCAGCTTGTGACCGTTTTTCCTGGTCACTCCTGGTAGTGCTCGGGGGAACAGGGACTCCCCCAATGCCTGCTAGTCCCCTCTGACTAGTTTGTAACAGGCCACTAGATCCCCCC